GTTTAAGTGAAGTGATCCTCCTCCTTCATGTGTGTTGTAACTCTTTTTTCTATCTATCTCTACTAATATTGACTTCTCTCATGGTCGTAAGCGATTTGCCGAACCATGTTAAATATTATATAAGTTTGTTTAATCTCCAATGGACAACTATCAGAATATCACCAATCGGAATCCTAAATAATTAATTTAAAACTGTGATAACATCATAGATAATAAACTAAAACATTTTATGAAAACAAATTCAAAACCAAGCAAGTTATGAAGGATGAAATACAAAAAAAGTAACGAAACCAAGATTTCTAGACGTGGAAGGTAATAATATTAAGACATTGATACCTGATGCCATCCACCATATCATAGACCCTTAAGTCATTTAACTCATTTTAGCATCTTGGTTCACCCATTTCACTAACCTAGTTACCATGCCAAACCTCATTCTGCTACAATATTCTTCTATAACCCATCCATTTTCATCTTTAAATCCATTCCATACTTTATTCAATATCTCCGTACATGAGACATATTAACATTATATTTTAAAAAAAAATTACTCCTGAAACCAAGTATTCAGACCCTTAAAACCCTCATCCAAAGAGCCCCATCGTTATTAATCATTACTTCCTAGACAACTATCACTAACCTCAACCTTTCTTATTTTTTGACAAATACTTTTTTATTCTCTTAATTATGGAGTAATTAATTAGATTACTAATGGAATAACCAATAGGCAAATATATATACTTTATCTTCAATTATCATAGAAAAAGCCATATTAAATACAATAATTATGGACACTAAAGCTAGACCTAATTTTTCATTGATACCATCAACAACTTTGTTGATAACAAATAATTCTTACTTTTTTTTAATTTTTTCATGAAAATAAATAATTAAATTGAAAGGCACATAAATTACTTGAAATACCTAGGATGGCATATAAAACACCAAGTATCCAATACCCAATATGGCATAATGCTACTCAAAGAGAGATGCCCACCATATTTACGTCAGAATCTAGCTAAATTTACGAACCAGGTGTTATGGTTAACAAATCAAATCTAAAGGGAGGATAGAGTTTTTAAACCCGACCTGGTGGTTGATCAGGCCCAAGGCAAGGGTCATTGGTTTTGCTCAGATCATCCAGGCCAACCCTAATTTTTTTTTTATAAATCAAAACGATGTTGTTTTGGTTAAAAAAAAAAATAATTAACTGTTTGTAATCGGGTTTTTGACTGGATTAACCTGCTAGGTCACTCGAGTTTTTTACTTCTTTATTTTTTTTAAATCTAGCCCGGTTTTAACCTCGGATCAACCTGTTGCATTTAAAAACTATGATCCAAACTTTTAAAATGATAGAAAATATCAATCTTTTATATTAGAATCTAAATTTAAATTATAAAATTCTTATTAAGGATCAACGCGGTGTAAATTATTTTTTAATTTTTTTTTTTTATTAATTTGTTTATATATTTATATTATTTTAATATACTAATCTCAAAAATAATTTTTAAAAAATAAAATTAAATATTATTTTAATATATTTTTAAATAAAAAATATTTTAAACCTTAACTATTATCACAATGTTAAATATACACTTCTATTAGCAACTAAAAAGAGGTATATTGATTACTATTTTAATATATACATAAGCTATTTTCACGTGGAATCTTCACCAATAATGACGCTATAATCAAAATATATATTCATTTGGAATGGAATAGTTTTTTTATTTATTTATTTTACTGTAAACTTGATGATGAGTTTTGTTAAATAAAGGAGTTTGACACGAAACAATTTCTTAGCATAATTTCTCGTTTAGATTTGTCATGAGAGATTATTATAATAGAATTTAAGAATTTATTCCAAAGTTTTTCGATTTAGGGTTTTATTGATAATTCTTGAGCTTGAGAAACACCGATCCTAGACCTATACACACCCCATTGACCATGCCATTCATCATCCGTGGAGAGAAAATTGTGAAATTCTATAGACACTCCTTGAAAATGAATAGAATTGTGTTATCTGGACCTAGTCGGTAATCAACAATTTCAAAGGTTCAAAAAGAACGAACCAATCAGCGTTGGGCAGTCAGGCAGACAAGCTTCGCCTGTGTCTGTCTGTCTCTGTCTGGAGGGCACACCAGGTCGTGTTCAATTCAGGTTTACTTAAGCCTATGACATGTGATTATTAAGAATGTGGGTTTTTTTTTAGGTAATTTTTTTT